TTATATTTAAATTTGCAAATATTTATATAATATGCAAGAGTTCTTATTTTTTAAAAACAGGTATTTTCATTTTTAAAGATATTTTTTTTTTAAAAAAACTTTTTTTGATAAAGTTTGTTTAGGAATTATAACAATTATAAACTTTTTGTAAAAAAATTGCTTACAAGTATATTTTATTAATATTAACAAAGTTAAAAAAATTAAAAAAAGTTATGCTTTATTTGATTTTTTTTTATATATTATACTGATTATGTTAAGTTTTAAAAGTATAAAGCAAATTTTTTAATATTATTATCACTAGCTATCACTATAGATTGATAAAAATAATTATTATATTAATATTCTAACATTTATATAAAAAACATGTAATTTATAATCTGATGCACTTATCTATTTCAAATAAATATGTTTATATTCTTCTGATTTTCTTGTATAAATAATAAATGTAAATTAGAAAAAATAATAAAATAATACAATAGATATATTAACGTTAAATATAAGTAAAATAAATACCTTTATATATACATTATTTCTTATTTATATTAATTACCTATAATAAATATTATGCCTGTCTTTATTTTTTAGCTTTATTTTCATATTTATCAGATTAGTAAGTTTTAGAATTGCTCTTGGTAATTTAATAATACCAGCTATAATAGTGATTATTTAAAAAAGAAAAAATTTACTATTTCTGTTAAAAAATTTTCATATAAAAAATAAATTAATATGATCTGTCAATTATTTATATATTAGAAAAACATAATTATATAAGATTAATGGTATAATGAGAATTAAATCATGCATATATATTAATAAAAATGTTTATAAATAACATATCAGTATATACAGAAATAAATTAATGATACTTATAGAATATTCTCGCATATAATACATATAATTACAAATTGAAATAATAATCATAAAATATTTCTTCAGATATAATGATCAAATAGCAATAAATAAAATTTAAATTCTAATACTAATCTATATATCTGATAAATACTAAGTTTGATAATGCTCTTTTTATATAATTCCTTAATAATATAGGTTTGAATTCTTTTTAAAAAATTTTGCTTATATTTATTTTAAGCACGAATAATGATCTAGATGCATATATATCTTAAAAATTTACTATAAACTTTGAAATACTAAAAGTTTACACATCATTTTTCTTTGAAGAATTGTGAAAAATTAGAACTTTAATGTTATTATAATATAATACTACCTGATAATAGTATTGGTTACATTTTTGACTATAACAAAACTTTTAAAGTTCAATTAGTAGAGCAATATCTAGAATCAATTTGATGAATGATTTGCTCTGAAAAATTTGTTTACTAGTTATTCCAGTTGTTAAAACTATATAAGAACCTGTAATTAGCCAATAAAATATTAACTATTAATTAGTTGATATAATTAGATTTTAAATTTATCCTTTTTATCTAAATTCTTATTTTTTTGAGTTAATAATGATAATAATAGATAATCAGATTTTAAAATTTCATATTAGTATTAATATGTAATAAATTAAGTAATCTTTTAAATCATCATTAATATTAATATTAAAGATATTTACTATTTGCATATTATAATTGTTAATTGTTATTATACTCTATAGTAACATACAATTTTGAATGTATTATAATTTGAACTTTACTAATAAGATGCATCATACATATAATTTCAAAACCTAAATATTTTATTAACTATAAAGTTAGCATAATGATAAAAAACATGTAAACTTTCTGATTGAATATTTTAAATAAGATTGATTATTTTACTATTATCTTTTATCTATAGCAATATATACTATAACACTTGCATATAAATGCTTTTTAAATAATATAGTACTATCCAACTGTCAAGACACCCAACATAAAACTCCATTTGGTACACCATATATTTGAATGAGAAATTTTGTTTTTAACGGAATTTGCTTTACTCTACCTTCATCATCCACAAAGTAAATCAACCTCATTAATAAAATAATATCAGGTTTAATCTCATAACGATAAGCAATTAATGAAAGGTTTTTAACTTTTCTTGACAAAGTATTTTTTCAATTGTCAACGATATTAGCTCTTTCCTTAACATTAGCATTTTGAAATAGAATTTATGAAAATTATCACTAATCCTACATTGTTGTCACTACACTATCATTTGTAATAAATTGAATATTAGTATTTTTTTAATATATTGCCTTATTAAATTTAAACTCACTACAATGTATATAGTCTGCAAAGTGTTTATACTTTCCAGTAACAGGCACATTTCATTCTCGCAATAAAAATAATTTAAAACTTTTTGAAGGAAGGGTTATTGACTGCTACAAAATTTATTATACTATTTATTTTAAAAAACAACTTAAAGGTATATTTTTCTTAATAGTGTAGGCATGGTTAATTTGTTACATTTTTGTAAAAATGAAATGAAGTTACGCTTTTTTTGCTTTTTTTTTTGCTTTTTAATATTTGATTGAAATGGACAATAATCGAATTCATAGACTAACCTGTTCGTAATTTAATTTCGCAAGCGCCAATTTTCGAGATTCTTATATTCTATGGGAGTCAAAATGCGTCAAGTTCACATCCATGATTGCGTTTGCTCTTTATAAGAAATAAAAGGGTTTAGAAACGATGTAATATATCGTACATAATGTACAAATAAATTTAATCCTTCCATATCGACATTGTGACAAGCCATGCATCCCAAACAGGCATTCAGAGGATCAGCAAACAGTTGATTCCTCCTAGCATGGATAATCGTTGCCACACAGCCAAGCAGGCATTCAGAATTATAAAACAGGACTACCGAATCCACCATAATAATATACTTGCCTTGTTTGCTAGAAGTTTCGCAGCTACTATTTCTTCACGTCATATTCGCAATAGTTAATAAGAGAACGTCATTTTCCTTTTGATAGCGTAATTTTCTTGGATCGTCTTTATTCTGACGTATTCATGTTTCATGAAACCGAAAATACTCCAACTACCAACATCATTGTCGTCGAAATACCTATGCAATTCAGGAAATTTTTTAGGGTAAATCTCGTTTTTGTACTCAAATGAATGTGGGTTTGTCACATCACGTTGAAACATCTAATCTTAAGGTTGTCGTGTCGCATTTATAAACACATCTCCATATTCCCGCTAATTGCTACTGCTTTGAAACAATTAATTATCAGTATTTAATATTTAACCAAATCACAACTACTTTATTTTATAGCAGCAGTGTAGCCAAATGACCTCAAATGGCATCATTTAATATTATAAATTTCAAGTCAAAATGATCAAGGTCAAAATACACTTGTTCTTCAATCAATGACTTCTGGTCGTAACTCTTCTAACAATATTTCAAACTCAAATAAGCAATCATATTCCAGCACCTCGGATCCAGAACCTTGGCTTTGAGGAACTTCAAATGGGATTTTTTTTTTTTGGTTCTTTTTTTAAACGCCTTGAAAACATATTAGGCCATGGAAGAAGTGGAAAGACACTCTTATGTGAATTTCGTGGGAAAACACATTTTTTAGTAAATAGTAAATGACCTTAAAATCTGCCATCACTTTTTAAAATACGATCTTCAATAAATTACACGTGATCAACATACATTTTATATATAAGCATAAAAAAATTTTTAATTTTTCTAATCACAATGTATCTCGCAGCAGTAGCTCAATTTTGCGCAACAAATTTGATTACAAAAAATCGTCAAATATGCATTGAATTGCTTGAGAAAGCATCAAGGAATGGAGCAACGGTACTTGTTTCGTGCTTTACTTTCAAAAACATTTTTGCATATCAACTAAATTTTTTTTTTCTCTGAAATTATTACACGGTTATTAAATAACAAAGATGATATTTTTTCCTGAAGCTTCAGATTTTATAGCAAAAGATTCCGAAGAAACTTTATCATTGACATCATCAATTAGTAATAATTCATTTGTGAATGATATTAAAGACGCTGCTATAAAACGAAACATTTGGGTTTCAATGGGAATTCATGAATCTGTAGTGAGACGTGTTGATTTATATATTCTTCGCACTTTCAACCTTATTATTCTAATAATTTTTTTTTTTTTTTTTTAGAGTCCTGATCCACAAAGAATTTATAATTCTCATATAATAATAAATTCTCAAGGATCAATAATTGAAACATATAGAAAACTTCATTTATTTGATGTAAATATTAAAGATGGACCGATTCACTTGGAGAGTAATACAACGATACGTGGAGAAAAAATTTGCGATCCTATACCTACACCTTTAGGGAATTTAGGATTAATGATCTGCTATGATTTGAGATTCCCTGAATTATCTTTAGAATTGAGGAAGAGAAGTGCAGACATTTTAACATTTCCATCAGCATTTACTATCAAAACTGGACAAGCCCATTGGGGTAGATAACCAATTTTCTTTGTTAATCAGATCAATATTTACTTTCTTGATTAATTAACTTTCATGATTTTTTATCAATGAACATTTATAGAAGTATTATTGCGTGCTAGAGCTATAGAAAATCAATGTTATGTCGTTGCAAGGTATTTGATATGTTAACTTCCAAATTTGTGATGATAATTTTTAATTTATTTCGTATGAATTTGTTAGCGCTCAGATTGGACAACATAATGAAAAGCGAGCTAGTTATGGACACGCAATGGTAAACGTTATTTACACGTTTACCTCCGTTTTAACTTAATTTATCATTCATTTCTTATGTTATTAATTCCTTTCGAAATAGATTGTGGACCCATGGGGTACCGTATTAGCCAGATGCTCTGAAACAGTTGAGCCATCGCTAGCTTTTGCTGAAATAAATCTTGATCAATTGAAAAGAATTCGAACAGAAATTCCTGTATTAAATCATCGTAGGACAGACATTTTTAATTAAATTAATGATACGTTTAATAATAAGAGTCTTTTTAGGTTCCTTTTCTATTTTCTTTGATAAAGCATGGCAATGATTTAAGGTATGACGAATGTCAAATATTATTGTAAAATTGGTTTCAAAAGCAAATTTATTTTTGTTAATATAAAATTTTAACGATTCCCAAAAATTAATTGAAGAGCTCACAGTGAAACATTAAATAAAGGCGAAAGTTTTATTAAATTTACGGATATTTCATGAGAATTTTTTTTTTTTTTTTTTATCGGAATTATGATAGCGAATTTTGAATTTTGTATTTCAATCTGCTGGAATCTGCTGGTACAATGTACTTTAGACGCCTTAAAATAATGTAATTGTAGAATAAATTTATATGAGATCAATGTTGAAGTTTCGTTTTTATAATTTCAATGCAATTTGAGAATGACAATTTGCAATTTCTTATCGAAATTTTACGTTCCAATGAAATAAATCAACATGACTCGGTGAGACCATTATTATTATTATGAAACATTTATAATATAAATACTGACTTATTTTAACCGGCATAAAGTGGATTATCTCCCTTATTGATTGATTAATATCCAGTCCAGGTGACTTATGCTGTGTCTTAAAGTGAATGGACAGGTATTGGTAGTGAGGAACTATACAGTATTATCGAAGAAGTTTAAGCTCAGAAAGATTAAATGAGGACGAATTTGATCTTGAAGAATTATTCTATCTTTTATAAATTAAGTTCGGTTAATGTCATGTTAACTAACCATTTTTTATGACACGTGTGAACGCTGTAGAGCAATCTCAGAGTTGCAACCTATTTTTGCAAAAAAAATAAAAGTTTTTTCATTCATCAAGATAAAGCGTGAAAAATGATATAAAAGAGATGTACAATTTCGCGTTATCATCGTAGGTCCGGCTTTCAATCAACAAGAATGTCCTTAAAGAATAGGAAATTTTTATCGCATCTATTCAAGTTTTCCTTAGTTGTTTTAGGTGATTTCGCTTTGTATAGAACAAAGTTTATTTATTTCCTCGCTAGTTAACTTTTCGCTCAGACCCTTCTTAACTTTATTCAACTGTTTTTCATTCAAAGAGAGTAAATGAGAATTAGAGGGAAACTGATTAACGGGTTGGCATCATCAAATCCTATCAATTTTGAGAAACAAGATACACTACGGGTATAAGATAGGAAATTCCACCTTTTGATTTAGTACCTCGAAAATAAGAAAATAGTCCTTGTACCGCGATGTTTTTATCCCACTACACTATCATGCCCAAGTTTTTCAAACAATTGTAGGAACAAAAAGATGGCTACGAATTCTTCATCAAAGGTTTGTAAGAAAGACCCCATCGCACGTGATTATCATTCTCCTCATACAATGTAAATTATATACCTCTCCTCACATAACTTCGACATGTATATATATGATTCTTCTTGCTAGAAGATTTGTCTCCGTATCTTTACGTTTTTTACTGCTAGAGAAGCAGAGCTGGTTTGAAACTCCGTTTCCATCCACATCCATTTCTTGTTCCTCATTTTGGATTACCGGCGAATTCATTTTCATCTGAAGTTTATTGCTCATTCTCCTAACTAACGATAAAATATTTGATTGTGATGATTTAGAAAATCTTCGTTCGGAGTGCGGTAAATTAACGATAGTGCAGTAGTTTTGTCGTGTAAGTAAAAAATTTTCTCAATACATGTGGAATACATGTCCTAGATCTATTATGTACTTACGAAATCATCCAATATTTGCTCTGGGAATTCATCATTATGGAATATATGGGACCTTTACAATAGAAAAGTGAGAAGCTGCTGGAAAAAATAAAAAATGAGTTAATGCTAAATCTGAACAAATTTTACCTAAAATTCATATTTGGTATACAAAAGTAAAATTGATTTTATCCGGTAATTTCCCCCTTTCTATTGCAAAGATCCCATATTATGTATTAAAATTTGCTGTAAATAGATCTTCGCTAACGAAAGGTCAATAATAATACCGAATGCTATAGGAACTTCTGGTCTAATTAACGACAAATCCAGCCGTTCCAGATGACGGACAACTTCAGTATATGCAACATGGTAATTGCTTCCTATCTTAGATCTCTAAAGAAAATAATTCTCTCATCAGCATCAAATACCACCAATAAATCAGAAATCTGGTATTTTTGCCTAATATAAATTCGATATTCTCTCGAATGATATTGATATTGCATTCTTTGTTCTACATATTGCAAAAGTTAATTAAGAAAATGCTTTTAGGATGGTCAGTATAACATAGTAAAATAAACTTATAAAATATTTGACGTTGCTTCTAGAATCAGTAAGAATAAAAAAATAATCTAGTGTTCTTTCAATATGATATTTGTATAATATGTCTCAATAAACCAGTTATTACGAGGATATTCATTGTTCATAAGATCCATGCCTATCGTCAGCGACGACCTCCGGCTTTTGCGAAAAAGCTCTTTGAGAAATTGTGAAAAAAAAAACACGGGAATTTACTTTGGCAACGTAGCTACATCCAGCTAACGAGTCCGGGCTCACTCAGCCTTACTGGAAGATAAACCAAGTTAATCCTGAGTAAGGGAGCCCTAGAGACACACACGAGATGGTTTTCTTTTTAATTTTCGGTACCCCGCTTCCGAAACATACACAAGGCACATTTTTTCAGCTTCTTAGTTAACCGTCCACCTATCAAACACACGTGTTTCGACTTCTCGGTAGCCGTCCACCTACCAAACACACGAGGTGTTTTCGGCAACAAGTATCCAGTCATTTTTATAATTGGAAGATACAAATGACGTAAATGTTATGTCACCGATGATGGGATGTATTAGTTTGGCCTATTAGATCACTGTGTAACATATTTTAATCATTGCCTTATATATACCACAATAAATTCGACGTTCAATTTCTTATTGAAACCAAGTCCCCTTAAATTAAATACCAGCATGACTCGAACAAAAAAAAGCGTTAATATTATAAAATACGGGTCCCTTATACACGTGGGTCAATAGCGCAGAATAGCCGCCTCGAACAAAAAAAAGCTTAAAGTTATAGCTAAGGAGTTATCGCGCAGTTTTCCAGCGAGCACATTTTTTTTCCAGTGTAATGCAATACGCAATAGGAAGCCTAACAGATTACAATTCGAGAGAGTTGCGAAAGAAAAATACGGAGGATATGAGAAGACCAAGAAAGTGAAAAGTTAAAGTGATGATGATGATGAAAAGGATCAAGGAAACGAAAAGAAGGTCAAGGAGATTTAGTGTTGTCTTCACAACAGTTCTCATTTTTGCCATCAGAACAAGATGCGTATGTTGAACCGATTATTGACAAGTAAAGGCGTCACTCTTTCTATTCATTATTAAACAAAAAGAAATATGGCACCTTTGCAATAAAAAAGGGGGAAACGGCTGGAAATAAAAAAATAAAAAATTAGTAATTGACATATTTTGACCTAAAAATCATATCGGCATATAAAATAAATTTGATTTTTTCCGGCAGGTTCTCCCCTTACTATTGCAAAGGTCCATATATTCTTCATAAAACCGTGAGAAAATTTGTATCAAAACGTAAAACCACCGAAAAAGGATGATTTTTAAGATACAGTTCTTTTGTGTCTTCTTAACTTTATAATCCAAAATATAAATTTATTTACACTTGGACAAGGCCAAATGTTATTTCATGGTTCAAACAAACCTAAAGGGGAGGTGGAGCGACGAGAAATTATTAAGACTTTCGAAATTAGTACTAGAATTGATTGTGTGTCTAGGTAAGTTTTAAATGGTCATCCTTACAGAATTACTAGAGAGATTCTTATTTTGTGAACTTTTATTGACAATAGGAGATCAAGATGCACTCAAATCACTAAGAGAAATTAAGCGAAATTGAAATATGGATCGATGATCTCAACAAGGAGAGAAAGCGCGTGGAAGATGATAACGAGCGTAGCTTTAAGAAATTGAATACGGAAAATTAAACATTGTCAACAAGTTGGAAATAATGAGACGAATGGTTATAGCTAAATATGAGATATTGATGATTATTCGGAAAGTTTGACGACTCAAAAAGATGAAGATGCTAGAATTAAAAAGTTCGTGACTCTAGCAAAATTACCTATTTGACATGGTGAGTACTCCAGATATTTTTTTCAGATGCCGTCTATATATGACTAATTTGCAATATCATATTCACAGCATCTAAAAATCAAAGGGGTTGTGACACAACAACTGTTGTAACAACAAATTAAAAAATACGTATTTTGATGATGCTAATTTCGATTGATAATTGAAAGATTTGCTTTTAAAATCGAGTTACGAACATAGTAATCCGTAAAGTGAATTTAAAAGCAAACCTCAATTGATGAAAATTTTCTTAGCTATGCTAATACTTGTTAAATATTATAAATATTTTCATTTACAATTTAATAATAAATACACCACGTCGATTTGCATGATTCTGACCTTTATGCGTTAATAGTAAATATTTAATATACAGTATTATACCAGCGTTAAAATTCACGAACGAAACTTTATTAATTGTTTTAATATGCGCAAACGAGGTATCGCGTCATGCTTTATAGTTCTGTATATAAAAAAAAAAGTGCAAATTATGACATTTACTCGAAATATCATCATTAGGTGATATGCTATGCAGTAAAGACGAACGTTTCTTCCGTAAGAATCAACCTCGTCTCAAATAATTTAGAAATTCTTAATGTGATATGTTTTATTATTTATTGATTCCTTGGGCTTCTGAGATCTAAATTAAAAAGTAGATATGATGAAAAATAACAGATATCATAATGGGAGTTTGGTTGCCAGTAGCATTTACTTCGAATCTAGTGTCTAATCTTGGACGTATCAAGAATAATGGTAAAATTTTAAGGTCAAGTGTTCACAAAATGTGGTTATATACGAATACATCTTTAACATTAATGGTGTCAGAACTGCAGTTCATATGTTATTTGCACAAGCATATATCTCTACGTTAATTATATTAATGGCATCGAACATGATAATCAGGCTATTAATTTGGAAAGAATAACTCCTAAAGAGAATGCTGAACGTCAGTATTCCCAATCCTAGTCAAAGTCTTGCTAGTAAGATTTCGGGACCCCATAACTCTCGATTTTGTAGCAAAAAGCTAAATACTAGGGTGGCATTATGAAGATTATATAAAACAGAATTCAAATGAAGAATGGAGAGAAATTATCGATGCAGGATATACCGTGTTCACCGCTTGGTGGAGTTAGTATTTTCAGAGAAGAAGGAAAAGAATATGTGAACCTTATTGACGAACAATGTGCATCAAATCTTGAATTTTGTTCACAAAAAGAAAATGTACGTCTTGGGCTTGGACGCAAACATGTAGTAAAACAGATTTTAGATAATGGATCTTTTCGAGTTTTCCCATTCCGCGACGTGTTACTAGAATTAATCATATCGTTAAGGATTTAAAGTTCATGCTGAGAGTATCGTTGGTAATATATGTAAATACAATGCATTAGCACTTCATGGGTGGATATCAGAACTTTTACAATACAATGTCATGAATCGACTTCAGCCAAGAAAGTTATTTTTCTTAAGCAAAGACTCCACCTATATGACAATGTTCAAAGTTAAGTAAAAGGATTGCGAGCATTATCCAAGTTTGTTAATTCTTTGCCCTTAACAATATCGTCTCCAAATTATTTAGGATGCCACAAGCAAAGTTCGAATGTTGGAGAGAGACATTTTACATAGCATTTCGAATAATCCTGTCTGTTTTCTATAGCATTTGAAATTCCGCAAGTCTCCGTATCTCCACCACCTTTCATTATTTCGCTAATCACTCCTTGCAAATCAGGAGATTAGCATTTCCAAAATCCCACGCGGATAAATTTTCTTGGATAATTAGCATAGAGATAAACGGAAGGAAAGATTATTGGAGTACCGAAATCTACCTAATTTTCAGTAAGAATTTTTTCGAATCTTACTGCGCATTTTAGGTGATCGATAATTTCAGCAGATTTTGATGGTTGAGTTGTGAAATGTTTTATTTGAAATTTACTAGCACATAGAATACGCGAATATCTCTCTGAGAGCAATGAATTATTTGTATTATAAGGTTATTAATTACAAGAGATTGAAACTTTTGGATGCTTGATCCTTAATTTTTGTAATCTAAATTAATTGAATAAAATTTTGAACTTATGCAAAAAAAATTTAATTAATAATTATATTTATTTGGGTTTTACCACGAAATCCCGACAGATAGAATCCCGACGGATTATAATCCCGATATGCATAAACCCGACAAGAACGAAATCCCGACCGATCAATATCCCGAAATTCTAAAATCCCGAATGGTTTACGATCCCGGTAGTAGAGATCCCGAAAGATCAAGAGCCCGAATAGCTTATATCCCGAAAGATCATGATCCCGAAATTCTTATATCCCGAAAGATTCAAAATCCTGAAGTTTTAATTAGCATTAGTACTTTTCATTTTAAATTTAAAATAGGTAACTTTGTATTACGAAGTCGATTATTTTTATTAAAAAATATTAGCTCAAACATTTTTTATTTATACCATTCACATATATGTAACCATATAAAAATTAACACCAATAATTAATTATATAGAAAGGTTATGGGCAATCCCGCGAAGAAATTCCATCAATGAACGGTCACTTCGGTTATTAATAATTGACATAATCCTATTTTCTCTTTCAATCAAAACTCTTTTCTGCTTTTCGTTGTTCTCCACGGAGAATACATTCAATTTGAAGTTCGACTTGCTGTTGCTCTCTTTGTATCTCATTAATAATAGTGAAAAGTCCTACATGGGATCCATCAACCAGAGTTTCCCAACGACGGTGCCAAACCTCATCAATATTTTGAGTTCTCGGAACTCCAAATTCAATAGAATCATACACTGACCATAATTGTGGTGGAAAAAGGGGTGCAGAACGAACTACATGACCATTTCGTATTTCTCGTCGAATCCTTCCATGAACATAATTGTCTTCAAACCATTGCACCAGAACATTTGCTTCTAAAGGCATTTCTTGTTTTAAAATATCAAATGCTGTGGGGATCTCATGTGGAGGTAAAAAGGCTAATGCAAATAAATGGCGTAACATAATACTGAAATGTTCATCATTTCCATATCGAACTAGTCCACAATTTTGTATTTGCCGCCACCCATTTTGGCCAAGATGGAAAAAACAACCCTTATTATTAGCATCAGGAAACTTGCAACGTGACATATTAATTGCTGCTAATTCAAAATCGGTAATGATATTTGATGGTTTTAATTGAACATTATTTTCTTCAGCAAATTCAATTAAGTTCTCGAATACCCACTTATATTGCTCCTCAGATTTACGAGTCATTAGCACGTACACTAGTGGAAGAATTCTAGAATTATCTTCAGCACCAACAGGTGCATGAATTGTATACATTTGATGAAAGATTGTAGGAACAGTTTTAAATGTGCCATCCATTATCCAAAATAATGCACTAGATAAGTGTCTGATGTTTTCACTTGTAGTAAATATAAGGATTCGTTCTTGACCAACCATATGATCTTTAACTAAGAAAAAATTACCATTCAAAGTAAAATAAAGGGATTCTGGTATGTTAACTTCAGAAATATTTTATGGTTGTGATGGCATTTCCAATCTTTTAACACAGCTAATTGTTCTACAAAGAGCGTTAACTGAAGGAATATAAGGATGAATTTCCTTCAGCATACTAATAATATTATCTTGAATTATTTTTGCAGGTTTATCTCTTGTTTCAAAGGCTTGACATTTTATCTGAGCAGTAATTTTCACGACTTCAGCATTACTTGCTTGGGGTCTATGGTTATGATCAATACAACTTTGAAGGTAGTGCAAGTTATTATATAAGTTTGTTGCTGCACAGCCTTTATATCCTTCTGATTTTCATTTTTCACAGCATTAGTAAAATATGTTTTAATGGCTTCGTTCCTTTACTATCAAATATCCATAAACTTTGATTTTATCATTTCCTTTTTTTGATAGTACAATTTCACAAACCTCATCTATTTTTACAATAGGTTAGATGAATAAAATATTATATTGAAGAAAACTAAGGTTTTTAGTTTAAGAAAACAAAAGTTTTAAAATGATGATTAAAAAAAATTTAAAATGATGATTAAGAAAACAAAAACAATCTATGTAGGTAAATAAATATTTTTTAATCAGATAGAATCACGTGATACAGGGACCACAAATCATTTTTCAGTAATTATTTAAACTCTGTTACTAATTTATTAATATATTTTATAATCATCTTATGAAATGTCAAGATCTTGAACATTGCAATTATGATCTTTTAGAATATAGGACATTTGGAATTATGATCTTTCAGGATATAGAACATTCAGGATTATGATTTTTTAGGATCTCTACTATCAGGATCGTAAACTATTTAGAATTTTAAAATTTTAGAATATCGATCAGTCAGAATTTTGTTATTATTAGGTCTATGCATATTGGGATTATAATTTATTAAGATTTTATCTATTAGAATTCTGAAGGGATCCTATTTATTTAATATATAAATTAAAATTACTAAAATATTAAATCATTTAAAATTATATAATGTTAAAAGATTTTAATATTTCTAATAATAGTTTTAAGAAGTATATTAAACTTATAAAACCTATATAATAAAAATTATATATTTATAATAGTCTTAAATTAATAATAACACTTTTTTATTTGAGTTAATTTTATAAAAAAATATGTTCAAATATTAATACAAAAGTTAAAATCTATTATTTTTATTAAATTTATGTGTATTAAATTAGTTTTTATAAATAACTAATAATTAAAAAAGTTAATCTAAAATTTTGAATTTAAAGATAATGATATCCCTTAGATTATAGAGGTTTGCAGGCAAATTTGCCTGCTTATTTACTACAAATTCTCTTCTGATTTACTTTTAATGGTAATTTTTTCTTAGTTAAAGTTCATGCTGAGAGTATCGTTGGTAATATATGTAAATACAATGCATTAGCACTTCATGGGTGGATATCAGAA